GCCTCCTGAGGAGCTGGGACTATAGGAACATGGCACCCTCCATGGCCAGCCCCTGCTTCATTGCTTCTGTTTATTGTCAAATTCTGGTAAGAGTGATTAGACCAGCTAGGAATGGTGGCTTATACTGCCATACTATTTTCATACATTGAACCAGCCTTACATTCTGGAATAAATCCCACATGGATTATGTGTGTAATCCTTTCAATATGGTTAATATTAGGGTAATAATAATAGGGTTCAGGTTTTCTTGTTTGTTTGTTTTTCATCTTTTTGATTTGTTTTTTTGTTTGTTTGCTTTGTTTTTGTTTTTCTTCCAGTACCAGGAATTGAACTCACGACCTTGTGGTTGCCAGGCAGGCGCTATGCCGCTGAGCTAAATCCCCAGCCCCTGTTTTTTGTCTTTTTGAGACAGGGTCTCACTATGCAGTTCAGGCTGGCCTTGAGCTCACTTTGTAGCCTAGGCTGGTCTCAAACTCACGATGATCCTCCTGCCTCAGCCTCCCGAGTGCTGGGATTACAGGTGTGCACAACCACGCCCGGCTAGGGTTCAGTTTAAAAGTTTTATTTTATTTGTTTTTTAGTTTATCAGTACATGAGTGTGGTTACGTTCCTTGTGTGGACTTGTCACATATATATAACACATCTCAATTCCTTTTTTTTCATCCCTTCCCTCCCTCCACGTCCCTCCATCTCTTAGTCCCCTCCCCCTTTGAGAATGCACTGCCTTCCTACTTCCTATTATCTAGCTTATTAGGATTTTTAGTATGATTTTTTTGTCCTCAGATTTAACTCTGAGGGGTGTCTGAGCATCTTTGTCAGGAAACAGAAGTCAGATACTTCTCATGTGAATCCCAACCCTGCCACCCCTCCACTCATTAGAATGAGGATATTGATGTGCACTCTGCGCCTCAGTTTTTTTCATCTGTAAGATGGGTTCATAGCAGTGTCCACCTCCTGGCAGTGCTGGGAAGATTCATGACAGGGTACATTTCAGTCCAGGGCTGGACAGAGGTATGGTGACATATAGGGAATATTTCCCGACTCCTTGCTGCCCACTTGCAATAAGCCTGTGAAGTAGTTGGTTGGGACCCTCATTTTACAGGAAAGGAGACTCAGATGTTGAGAGGGGAAGTGAGTTCTTGAGAACTCACAGCTAGCAAGTAGAACGGGAGTGAGCATCAATCCCAGGCTACCCAGCGTTGGAGCACTGGAAGGAAACACTCAGGCCAGGGAGGTAGCTCATGGGCAGGAAGCAGTCAGGAACAGAGACTAGAAGCCGGGTGTGGTGGCGCACGCCTGTAATCTCAGCTCTTGGGAGGCTGAAGCAGGAGGATTGCTGGGAGTATGAGGCCAGCCTGGGCTACATAATGTTCAAGGCCAACTTGCATTACAAAGTGACACCTTGTCTCAGAAAGCCAAAACAAAACAAAACAAAGCAATAGTCAATATTTCCCTCCAACATTTTATTACTACTTTTTAAATGTGGTACTGGGGATGAAACCCAGAGCCTTCTCACTGAGCTACACTCCCCAACCTTTATTTTATTTATTCATTTTTTGAGACAGGGTCTTGCAATGTGGTTCAGGCTGGCCTCGAATTCTTTATGTAGCCTATGCCGCTGACCCTCCTACCTCAGCCTCTTCTGTGCTGGAATTACAAGCATGCACCACCATGCCTGGCTATTTTATTTTACTTATCTGGAGACAGGGTTTCACCAAGTCACCAAGTTACCAAGTTGCCCCAGCTGGGCTGAAGCTTGTGATCTTCCTGCCTCAGCCTCTCAGAGTACTGGGAGTACAGGCATGCACCCACACACTGAGCCAATTACTTTTTTCAAGCATGCAGTGAAGTTGATAGACTGATGCACTCACCCCTACATCTTCTCGTTAATGTTCGTAGTGCTTGCTGAAAGAGAGCTGCCATCACATATTGGGGTGCATTTCAAGGTGCACACAGCATCTACCAAACACGTCAACAGGCGTTCCATTATGTGGAATTCAGATTTGCTCCCAGCCTTTTTCTTCTGAGCAGAATACATGCCTGTCTTAGTTTATGCTGCTATAACCAATACGTAGACTGGATGCCTGAAATAACAGCATCAGTCTGATGGCTGGAAGGCCAAGCCCAGGGTCAGCATGATCTGGTTCTTCTTGCAGGCTGGCTTCCGGGCTTGCAGGTAGACCTCTTCCTGAATGGATTTTCACATGGTGGGGTGGGGGCGGGAGTCTTATCTCTTTTCTTTTGTGTGTTGGGGGGGGGGGCCAGTACTGGGGATTGAACCCAAGGCGTTCACATTAAGCTACACCCTACCCTTTTTTACATTTTTAATTTTGAGACAAGTTCTCACTAAATTACTAAATTGCCCAGGTTAGACTTGAATTTGGGATCCTCCTGCCTCAGCCTCCCAGAGTGCTTGGATTATACCATAAGATCTGCTACATTCTCTTTTTCTAAGGGCATTAATCCTATCCCAAGGACTCTAACTCATGCCCTAACATAATCCTCATCCCATAGGCCCCCACCTTAAAGTACTGTACCATCGCTTTGGGAGTTAGGGCTTCAATATCTGAATCTGCAAGGGCTCACAAGCATTTAGTCCCCAGCAACACTGCACATTTGCTGAGCTCTGACAACTACATATCCTGTGTCTCACACACACACACACACACACACACACACACACACACACACACGTTGAGGTCTGGAGAGCACTGCCAGGAAACATCCGCTCACGCCTGCCGGAGAAACTTCCACCATACCTTAGCTCTGGCTGTTCTAGAATGCCTTGGAAGCAGAACCGTACTGCACGCACCATCATATCGGGCTTCCTTCACTAGGGTTTGTTTGGGGTGTTTCGCTGTGTTGCCCAGGCTGCTGAGCTTCTGAGCTCAAGGGATCCTACCTCAGCCTTCTAGAGAGCTGGGATTGCAGTGTGTGCGCGTGCGCCACCGCACCCTCCCTCCGTCCCTCTCTTTTTCCCTTCCCTTTCTCCCTGTAACCTTCCTTCCCTTCCGTGCTGGGAGGGAACCCAGGCCTCGCACGCCCCAGGTCTGCGCTGACCACTGAACCACCCCCGGCCCTCGGAGCTGCGGTTCGGGGTTTGTAGGCCATGCTGCAGGGTCGCTGAGCCTGGGCCCGGTCAGTCTGCAGGCCGTGGTGTGTCTGACCCCCGCTCCCTGCACAGGGGGAGAGGCTGAGCCACGCCGTGGGCTGCGCCTTCGCCGCCTGCCTGGAGCGGAAGCAGCGCCGGGAGAAGGAGTGCGGGGTCACAGCAGCCTTCGACGCCAGCCGTACCAGCTTCGCCCGCGAGGGCTCCTTCCGCCTGTCAGGGGGCGGGCGGCCGTCGGAGCGCGAGGCCGCCGACAAGAAGAAAGGTGGGTGCTGCCCATGCGGGGTGGGGGGCCACGGGTGGGGTGCACAGGGACCCAGGGGCGCCACCACAGAGTTGGTTACAGTGCCACTTTAAAAAGAAAAGCCGCGCTTAGGGCAGCAGGACACCCAGCAATCAGGCAAACCTCAGAGCTCACAAACCGCACCCCCAACACACACACACACACACACACACACACACACACACACACAGGGGAATGAACCCAGGGCTTTCACACTGACCTACAACCTCATATCCCTTTAAAATAATTTTTTTTTTTAATCTTGAGGCAAGGTCTTGATGAATTGCCCAGTCTGGATTGAAATTTGTGATCCTCCTGCCTCAGCCTCCCACAGTGCTGGAATTACCGACATGTGCCGTCATGCCCAGCTCATCAAGCACTTTATAATCCAAGTCATGGGTCCCCATGGCTTTCCACACTGTGTGGTGAGACCTAGAAGTCAATTTGGTAGATGTGGGTGGCATTTTGAAAAATGAAATATAAAATATTAGAGTACGTCAGATGTAGTTAGGGTTAAGTATAATTTAATGAAGCTTTTACTTAAGTGTGTGTGTGTCTGAGTGTGTAATGGGTTACCACAAAAGACATGCTTTATTTTTAGGCACTTACGTCTTGCTTTAAGACATAAAGTTGACATCTAGAAAGAATGAGGATGGGGCATGGTGGTGTACGCCTGTGCCTGTAATCCCAGCACTTGGGAGGCTGAGGCAGGAGGATTGAGGATCATTGCACGTTCGAGACCAACCTGGGCTACAAAGGGAGCTCAAGGCCAGCCTGAACTGCATAGCAAGAGCCTGTCTCAAAAAGGCCAAAAAAAGAAAGAAAGAAAGAAAAAGGAATTCGGTGTGGTGGTGCATGCCTGTAGTCCCACCACACAGGAGGCTGAGGCAGGAGGATTGCAGCAAGTTCAAAGACAGCCTGGGCTACACAGTGAGCTCAAGGCCAACTGAAGTATACGGCAAGACCGTTTCTCAAAACAAACAAACAAATAAAAAAGTAAAGAACTGTCAACTGAGGGCACATAGAGCATATGTTGTTTTATTGTTGACAAGGAACATAGGGGTTTACAGTCCTTTACAGTTGGCAGATATTTCTTTTTTGTTTTGGTTTATCTTTTTGAGACAGGGTCTTGCTGTGCAGTTCAGGCTGACCTTGAGCTCACTTTGTAGCTCAGGCTGGTCTCGAACTTGCAATGATCCTCAATCCTCTTGCCTCAGCCTCCCAAGTGCTGGGATTACAGACGTGCACCACCACACCCAGCAGATATTTTTTTGTTGTTGTTCTTTTTCTTTCATTTTATTTTTATTTTGAGACAAGATCTCCTTAAATTGCTGAGGCTGGCCTTGAAACTCATGATTCTCCTGCCTCAGCCTCCCAAGTATACACCACTGAGCCCAACTACAAATATTTATTTACCACTTATGTAGCATGTTAGGATTTATGACGAACATTAGCAGGGCCTGGTGGAGTGGCACATGTCTGTAATCCCAGCATTCTGGCAGGCTGAGGCAGGAGGATCATAAATTCAGGCTCGGCCTTGTCCGTTTAGCAATTTAGTGAGGCCCTATCTCAAAATAAAAAATAAAAAACACTAGGGATGCATCTTGGTTTGGAGGGCTAGGGCTCACTCCCCAGTACCATGCACGTTTATTCCTAGCATCTTTGCATCCTGGAAAGCACTCTGCTGTTAGCACAGCCGCAGAGTCCACGGAGTGAGGTCTGATCTGCGGCCGAGTCTCAGCGCTCTGCTGCCGCCCCTGCGCGCATTCACAGCCTGGAGGCACTGCCTTTTAACACAGGCTCTGGAACGGTGCTCTGTCCACAAAATTGTTTGTCAAGCTTTTTTTGGATTCCAAAGCACTGAGCATTCACTACCTTAGCTGACCTTGTCCAGAGGCCCAGGGAGGTCGCCCGGGGATGTTTATCCCAGTTTCTAGTCCAACTGGAGCCCAGAGAAGGGCGGGAGCTTCCTGAGGTCACGCAGTGAGAAAGGGCAGAGGTGGTTTCCTAGTTCCAGCCTCTCCAGGGCTGTTTCCATGGTGCCAGGCCGGCCCGTGGGCTCCTCATCGCTTCGTCCTGCAAGGTGGGAGAAGCCGCCTGGGAGACATCCCTCTGTGTGGCTGTGGCTCTGGTGAGCCCCGGTGAGGGGAGGAATGTGTGTCTGTGGACTGGCAGGGGAGGCCTGAGGAGCCTGTGTGTTGTGGCAAATGAGACCAGGCCCCTGCCCCCGAGAACAGAGAACAGTCCCAGAGTAGAAGGAGCCCAGGCTGAGGACTAGAACGGTCTGGAAAGCTTCCCGGCAGATGATGTGGGCCAGGCCAGGGCCACAGTGACTCACTGCCGCTGGGGGAAGGGCTGGAAATAGGGAAACAGAGGACAGAGTGACAGGGAGAGTGCAGTGGAGAGGTGCGGCCCTGGGGAGGGGCAGATGAGGGCCAGGTTTGAAGCACGGATTCCAGAGGCAGCCTGCCCCTTCCTAGCGGTGCCATTGCGGGCACATCACAGGTCTTTGCTGGCCCTCCGTTTCCGCAGCTGTAAGGTGCAGATGGTCTCAGTCTTGAGGCTGTTTGTGTGGACAGACAAGTTAATACTTACAGAGCTCCTGGAACAGTGCCTGATACAGTGGTCCTGAACTAAATAAATGTCCAAGGGGAGAATGGTGAGCGCAGTGCAAGGACACAGATCAGAGGCAGAAAGCTAGAGGCTCAGAGGGTCAGGCTGGGCCTCCTGGGAAAGGTGAGCTTGGCTTGGGTGGGGATGAGAGATGTTCCAGGCCTCCGACCAGCCTGCTTGAGGGTGGGTGAGGAAGGCAGCCTTGGGAAATAATCAAGAGGACCAGGCATGGCGGTGCACATCTGTAACCGCAGCACTCAGGAAGGCTGAGGCAGGAGGATCGCTGCAAGTACAAGGACAACCTCGGCTACATAAATGAGTTCAAGGCTGGTCTGAACTACATAGCAAGACACTGTCTCAGAAAATTTAAAAAAAAAAAAAAAAATGAAGGTCCTGGGTTCCATCTCCAGTACCCAAGGAGGAGAAAACATAGCAGATGGGATTTTAAAAAACGCCAAGGTGAGATATCTAACCAGCTGTCTCTCCATGTTTCCAGCAGAGGCAGCAGCTGCTCCCACTGTGGCTCCTGGGCCTGCCCAACCTGGGCATGTGTCCCCGACACCAGCTACCACATCGCCTGGTGAAAAGGGCGAGGCAGGCACCCCAGTGGCCGCAGGCACCACGGCTGCTGCCATCCCCCGGCGCCATGCCCCTCTAGAGCAGCTGGTTCGCCAGGGCTCCTTTCGTGGGTTCCCAGCTCTCAGCCAGAAGAACTCGCCTTTCAAACGGCAGCTGAGCCTACGGCTGAATGAGCTGCCATCTACGCTGCAGCGCCGCACTGACTTCCAGGTGAAGGGCACAGGTGAGCTTGGGGTTCAGTGAGCATGGACATCAGAATCAGCGTTGTCTTAAGTGGGTGAGAGATAGAGGAGAGATGGTACATGCTGTGATTGATTAGCATTGTCTGCCAGGGGCAAAGGATAGACAGGTGGAATATATCATGATCAGCAAGCAATGTCTGTCATGGACAAGGAATAGAAGAAAAGTAACGCAAATCGTGACTGATTAGCCATGTCTGATCTTGGCAGGGGAATAGCAGAAAGGTAGCATGAATCATGATCAATTAGCAATGTCTGCTCTGGCAAAGGGACAGTAGCAGTATGGTGCACATCATGATTAATTAGCAAGATCTGCTGTAGGTGACTACATTACTATAGGCAAGGGAAAGAGGAAAAGAAGCACAGATGCCCTGTTTTTGCTCAGGAATACACTAAAGCATCATAATCTGATGCTTCTTCCAAGCATTGTATCAATGGGATCATAAGATCTTGCCAGGTAAAGGATAAAGGCATTCCTTAGGATCAGACAAAAGGATTGTGATGAATTAGCAATGCCAGCCAGGTGTGGTGGTGCACACCTGGAATCCCAGCACTCAGGAGGCTGAGGCAGGAGGATCGTTGCGAGTTCAAGACCAGCCTGGGCTACAAAGGCCAGCCTGAACTGATAGCGAGACCCTGTCTCAAAAAGACAAAAAAAAAAAGCAATTTCTATATAGGGCAAGGAGAATAGAGGGATGTGTCATGAGCAAGAAAAAGAGGTGGCATACCGCATGAATAATTAGCAAAGTTCACCATGGGCAAGGGAGAAGAAAAAGCAGGGAGGTGTTATGTTTTTGCACAAAAGGGAAACTCCCAGAATTCAGTCAGTAGAGCCAGGCAATCTGGCCAGGTAAGCGGGTAAGGGGAGCAAAGAGCTCCATGAGAATAAGCCTTGTGTTTGATTATTAATGTCTGCCATGGGCCAAGAAGAGACAGATGGCATATGTCATGATTTAAAAAGCAATGTCTGCCATGAGCTGGAGGAGAGAGATGTCATGATATTTTTTGCCTGAGGGAGACAGGCAAGAGGGCTGCCTGCCCTCAACAGTCCAGGAAGCCATGCAGTCTGGCCCACCCTACTGCATCATATGCCAAATCTGGGACACCTACCTCTTATAGCTTTGGGGACTGGTGTGGGAGGGTGTTGATTTGTATCCAGCAGACTGGGCTGATGCAAAGGTAACAGTTGAGCAGATGCCAATGTGTGTTGAGCACACGCTCCACATCCTACAGCATTCCTTGGCTGTCACACGCTGTCACACTTTCTGTGCTCGTGCACACACTGAAGGCATCATGCACTCTCTGTTAGGCGGCCGCTACTCAGGCTCTATTTGGAAGCCTTACACTCCTGCAGCCAGCTACACACTTGCTGGGATGCCACTTGCCACGGAAATTTCAGACTCACACTGATGTTATGCTCTGACACGTGTGTCACACATACGCGGGAAGCACCAACTTAGAGTCATAGACACACAGAAATCTCACATGCTTGGAAGTTACACACATAGATTTACACACACAAGCCACACACAGCTGGATTCACAGTCTGGGGAGGCACACTTGCAGATCCATGCACACTCACATGCCCCATCACACAGGCAGAACCACTCACACTTGGGAAGCATACTTGGGGACACCACACACTTGAACTTCAGTTGTACATGCCATCCCCCCATACACCGCATGCCTGTCTGGACAGATACACGTCATCATAGACAGTAACCTGGACACCGCATCCCCCGAGCCTGGGCCCTCCTGTCAGACTCGATTCCTATGGCCACTTCTTTCCGATGCCCATGGGAGCATCCTTCGTACCCTCTTGGAGACAGTTACTTCTGAGATGTCACAGGTTGTCACACGCCACACACGACCGTCCTTTGCTTATTTGATAAGATGGTACATTTTAAGCATCTCTTCCAGCCTGTGGCCACCCACAGATCTTGCGGTCTGAGTCCTTGTCATTGTCAGCCATCATGTCACTTGCTGACTTGGTGCCGTGTCAGTGGCCATGATCGCCCAGTGAGCTGCCGGCCCACACACCTGGGGAAGGAAGGGGCCCGGGTCGCAGAGAGGCCCCGGCAGGCACAGTGAGCAGGGCTGGCCGCAGCAGGGCCGGGGCTGTTTGCCAACCTCTGCCTTTCCCTGACTCCCCAGTGCCCGAGATGGAGCCTCCTGGTGCCAGCGACAGTGACGGCATCAACGCCCTGTGCACACAGATCAGCTCGTCCTTTGCCAGTGCCGGAGCACCCGCATCAGGGCCACCATCTGCCACCACAGGTAACCCCGCCCTGTCGCTGGGCCAGACACCCGGCCGTGCCCCAGGTGGTGCGCCGCGTGAGGGGCTGAGGTGGGGTGCAGCGTCTGCCCTCTCCTCCCGGACCATCCTGACTCCCTGCCCGAGCCCCTCCTGCTGCAGCCGTCACCTCTCACCTGCCCCTTCCCTCTTGCCAGGGACTTCCGCTTGGGGTGAGCCCTCTGCACCCCCTGCAGCTACCTTCCAGCCGGGGCACAAGCGGACGCCCTCGGAGGCTGAGCGGTGGCTGGAGGAGGTGTCCCAGGTGGCCAAGGCCCAGCAGCAGCAGCAGCAGCAGCAGCAGCAGCAGCAAACAACCTCAGTACCCCCAGTACCCACCATGCCCCCCGCCCTGCAGCCCTTCCCTGCCCCTGTGGGGCCCTTCGACACAGCACCTGCCCAGGTGGCCATGTTCCTGCCACCCTCACACATGCAGCCCCAGTTTGTGCCCACCTACCCGGGCCTGGGCTACCCACCCATGCCCCGGGTGCCCGTGGTGGGCATCACCCCTTCGCAGATGGTGGCCAATGCCTTCTGCTCCGCCGCCCAGCTCCAGCCCCAGCCCTCCACCCTGCTGGGGAAGGCTGGGGCCTTCCCACCTCCTGCCACACCCAGTGCCCCTGGGGGCCAGGCCCGTCCGCGCCCCAACGGGGCCCCCTGGCCCCCAGAGCCAGCGCCTGCCCCAGCCCCTGAGTTGGACCCCTTTGAGGCCCAGTGGGCAGCATTAGAAGGCAAACCCACTGTGGAGAAGCCCTCCAACCCCTTCTCTGGTGACCTGCAGAAGACTTTCGAGATTGAACTGTAGCCAGAGCTGCCCGGCCCACCCTGTCCTCCCCAGGTGCGACACCTGGGGATGGAGGCACAACCTCTCCCCTAGCCCCACTCCCTGGGGCTGTGCCCCTCAGCGCCCCTTCGAGGCCCTTCTTCCACCACCCCATAACCACTACAGAACCAACATTGCGATGCCCAGGGTGCAGCGAGATGGCATTCATGGACGGGCCCAGCCTGGCTAAGGGAGCCATTTCACTGCCAGACTCAGGCTGGCGGTGCCCCGCCTCCACCCCGACAGGGATGGCCGATGGCCGAGGTTCCATGGAATGCCCTCCGTTCAAGCTCCCTTTGCTAGTTTCTGTTGTTGACCTTCCACCTCCTGATGTTGGGCAGGATAGAGGGGGGACACCCGCGTAGAGGCTCTCCTGGGCCCCACATGAGTGCCCACCCCAAGTCCAGGGTCTCCTCCCCACAAACACAGCACAAGCTAAGGGCTTCCCTCTGCCCATGCCGCGTTCACTGCCAATGCTGTACTCCCCACCGCCCGCCCCTGTTCGGGGCCTGCGTCTTCTGGGGGCCAAGGTCTCATGGGGGCAGGGGCCGAGTTGGGGGCCCAGGAGGTGGGGGAGGGGGAAGATGCTCAGTTACCTCACATCAGTGCCCGCTGGGAGGTGGTCCCAGAAGAGGGGAAGGGGTGCCTGGCGGGTACTTTTCTATCTTTTATTTCCAGATTTTTTTTTTTTTGTATCTAAACTTGCAGATTTGTATTATACATGGACAGCCAATAAAGGAAAACTATAATGGTGCCCCTCGGGAGAGCATGAGGGTGTGTGTAGGGGATGGCGTGGCCTCGAAGCCTTTCCTCCTGAGTCATCTTCTAAAACGAGGAAAAGGGTCCCCCTGAGCAATCGCCTGAGTCATCGCTCAGAAACAGGTCCTGCTGACTCAGCACATACCGCATGGGTGCTAAAGGGAGCCCAGAATTAATTATCCCGTTTCTATTACAGGTTTTGGGTCAAGGGATAAAAAAACAAATTCTAAACTATCACCAATTGGTAAAGCTACCAACATTCTAGACCAGGTGCAGTGGTACACAGCTGCAGTCACTCAGCTATTTGGGAGGCTGAGGCAGGAAGACCTAGTGAGCCCAGGAGCTTGAGTCCAGCCTGGACAACCAAGTGAAACTCCATCTCAAAAGCAGAACAATTACGGACCAGGGATGTAGCTCAGTGGCACAAACGCCAGCCTAGCAAGTGCAAGGTCCCAACTTCAATTCCTGGTACCAAAAAAAAAAAAAAAAAGAATTTAGGTCTTAGACCATGCTGGTGAATTCTTGTCAGCTATATTTTTCCATAACTGAGGCTGAAACCGCCTCATGTGATGTGGCAGCATGTTGTTTTAAAGTCTCTATTGTTTCTTGGGTCCCTTGATACAATCTATAAAATGTGTTTTTAAAAATGCATAGTATAGCGGGAGGGGATGGTGCACACCTATAATCCCAGCTACTCGGGAGCCTAAGGAAGGAGGATCGAAAATTTGTACTCCACCCGCACCATTTAAAGAGACTGTCTGAAAATAAAATTTTTAGAAAGGGTTGGGGATATAGCTCAGCGCTCCTGAGTTCAGTCCCCGGGTCCTACAAATTGACATAAATTATATGTTTAATTATTTATAGCTCTTTAAAATGGGGCGGATGATTTTGTGCAACTCAATATTCTGTCCTCATGTGATAGCTAGGCAAGTGGAGTCATTAGCCCAAGGTCAGGACTGCTGATGGAGGAGGGGGACTTCAACTCAGCCAGTGACCCCAGGAGTTCCCGTTACAGCCTGTCAGCCTGCTCGGGAGCCAGGACTGGGGGGCCTGCGTGTGAGGTCCCCATGGAAGGGGCAGAGGCCTCTGCTCCAGACAAGCCCTGCTGTCTCCGCTCTGAGGCTTTGCCTGTGTGACTTCATCTAGTTCCCCTTGGCCAGCCCTGGCCCTCGCAGAGAATCTGTGCGTCCCTCGAGCATCTGTTCCAACATCTTCGAAGTCCCGGTGCCCCATCCTGTCCTTTGAATCTCAGGCTCTTTGCCCCTTGAGGCTGGATCCGGAGCACCCCGTCCCACCGCGGAGCCTGTGCCTCCCCATCCAGCGGGCCCCGCGTCCAGGCCCGGGCTCCTTCCCGGCGGTCTGCCTGCCGCTCTGCACTGGGGGAACGAGCGCGGAGGGCTCTGAGCCGTCCCGGTCTGCTCAGCGTCCCAGCACTGGGAAGAAACAGGCTCGGGTGCTCACCTGTGCCGGTCGCTGGGCACTGCGCCCGAGGGCGGGGCCAGGGAGGGTTCCAGCCGCCGCCCGCCCCGACGTCTTCCCGTGCCAGCGCCGCCGATCCCACCGCCGCCCGCCGCCGTCCCGCGGGTGCAGGCGACCGGACGGCGCCCGCAGAGCTGGGGAGAAGCCCCGGCTCGGGCTTACCCGGGCCTCGCCCTCCGGGGGCGGCACCCCTGAACGCGGGCCAGAGCCCCAGACCTACAGGGCCAGCCGCGTGCCACCGACTCCGCGACCGCGCCCGCACCGAGGTCCCCGGGGAGACCCCCGCTCCGCGCCTGTTCCCGCTCTGTGAAAGTCCCCGCCCTCAGCCCGGGCCCGCCGCCGCCACAGCCACCCCAGACCCGCGACGCGTGCCCGGGACCCCGCGCCCCCTCGAGGCGGCGCGGTGGGAGCTCGAGGTCGAACGGCAGCCGGGGCTGCAGCGCCCCCTGGCGGCCCGGCTGGGCGGCGCCCGAAGAGCTCGGCTCTTGGCCCGGCTCTAGCCTGGCCCCGGCATGGGAAGGCAGACAGGGAATTGTTGTTGCAGCCATGAAGAAAATTATCTTTCAAGCCCTGGCCCAGCAGTGTCCTCCTCTAGGAAGTCCTCCTCGATTGGATCAGGCGCCTCCTCTGGGCTTCTGGGCTCCCGTGTGCCTGTCTGCGCCTCTGCCTTGGCCCTGCCCTGGCCCTGCCCCACCCAGCTCCATCCAAAAGGTTCGGCTTTCCCGCCCCGGCGCAGGAAGCACTGTGAATGCAGGGACTGGGGCGGTCACGGCCACCACTCTGTCCCCAAGTCGCCCAGGGCCAGTCACCGACTGAGGCTCAGACGACCTGCCTCGCCTGGCCTCCTAAGCAGACAGCGCCCCCGGGGTATTACTCCCTAACACACATTTTATTTTGTTTTGTTTAACAGCTTTATTAAGGTATCATCTACTTATCATAAAATTCGCCCATTTTAAGTGACTTAACAATTTGGGGCGATTTCACACTTGAGCAGCCATCCTTCCCCACAGTTCAATTTTAGAACATCAACGTCACGCTGTAAAGATGTCTTTTGCCGGTGCGCAGTCCTTCCCCAGTCCCGCCCCCGGCCTCAGGCAAGTGCTGATCTACTTTCTGTAACGTGCAGATTCTTTTCAACTTACAAGCATTTTCCAAATACCACTTTTTATCAGCTGTGGTGTGTGGAGGCTACGTAGACACACACAGACTCTGCGCCTGCAAGGAACACAGGTTCCCGCTGGGGCAACAAAGAGGGGGAAATACAGAGTCTTAAGTATTCATAGAGCACCTGCCATCTGCCAGGAGTGCTCCAGGACCCAACAATACGGCAGGGGAGTGAGGGGAAAGAGAAAATCTCTGCTCCACTGATCACAGCCAGAGCGGATGCTCTCCTGAGAGATGGACAGATGTGTGCTGCCAGGGTTGCTTGGACTAAGTGTGTGCAGACCACTGAAGCATATGGCAAGGAGCTGGAGTGGTGGGGGAGGGTTTAGACAGGCTGGTCAGCTAGTGCCTCCCTAAGAGGACGTTTAGTCAGACCTGACTGAAGTAAGGCATGGTGGCCACATTAGGGGAATGGCATCCTGGCGGGGGAAGCCACCAATGCAAAGGCTCTGAGATGGCAACAAGCAGCGGGTCTGTGGGCTGCGGGGGCCGGGAGGACAGTCAGAGGTGAGGTGGGAGAGTGCAATGGGCCACATCCATTGGGCCTTGGAAGCCACCGTAGGAGTTTGCCTTCTTGTGTAGAAATGGTGCAGAGCCATGGCAGGGTTTTCAGCAAGAGGACATGAGCTGACTTGTTGGGGAGGGTTATGTATCTGTGTGTCAGAGGCTGGGGCTTCTGCAAGGGGAATGGATTATTCAGCGGCTACAACTGATGTAGGGACTAGCCAGAAGCAGGGCACTGTGGGCATGATGCAGAAGGAGCCATCTTCCTTCCTGGCTCTTCCCTTGACACTCTGCACTTCCTGTGGCCGTGAGGTGAGCAGGTATCCCTCCACCATGGCCCTGTGCCATACCGTGCCGCCTAGAGCCAGCTGACCTGACTGTGGACTGAAACAAGAGCTGAAATAGACCTCCTCTTTAAGTTGTGCGTGTCAGGTATAGTGGCTCAGTGACAAGGAAAGTGAGTAGGACCATGAGATTCCCTCCAGCAGTCAGAGGAGAACAGGTTATAGGGTGAGCAGCAGGACCACTGTGAGGGTGCCGTAGGGGCTCCCCAGGTGAGAGAGGGAGACGGCTCAGAATGGGAAGGACAGGACAGAGACGGGCATGAACTGGCAGTGACCAGGAGGCAAGGATGTACCAACTCAAGGACATTAGTGGCACAACTGGGGTCCTAATGAGATGTTCATTAACTCAAGTTTCTAGGCATGATAATGGTGTTGTGGATAGATAGGAGAATGCCCCTGTTCTTGGCCAGGCTGCTACAATATTTTGAGTGAAATGTCAGAATTTTTTTTTTTTTTTTTTTGTCTTTTTGAGACCGGGTCTCGCTCTGCAGTTCAGGCTGGCCTTGAGCTCACTTTGTAGCCCAGGCTGGTCTCAAACTCACAGCCATCCTCCTGCCTCAGCCCCTCTGAGTGCTGGGATTACAGGCGTGCGCCACCATACCTGGCTTATTAATTTTTTTTTTTTTTTTTGGTATCAGGAATCGAACTCATGACCTCATACTTGCTAAGCAGGCACTTGTGCCACTGAGCTATATTCCCGGCGAAATGTCACAATATAATTGCATGAAATTTTTTAAAATGGGTCTCTCTGTTTCTCTCTAGCTACCTGGACACATAACTAAAGAGAAAGAGAGACAAAGAGCAATCCCCTTAAGAACTGCTTATAGATCACAATATAGTAGCTTATGTCCAAAAGCCCAAGTAGATGTCTACGTAGCTTGTAGATATCCATGCTATGTCAATAAGAATAGATAGATATAGGGAAGCAGAAAGACATGGCTAATTGTTAAAAAGTGGTGAATCTATACCAGTGTTGTGTAAATATAACTCATAGAGGTTTTTTTGCAATTCTTTTGCATGTCTAGAAACTTTACAACTAAAAGGTTCCAGTGGGGAAGCATCTATTGTAGAAGCCAGTGTGGCTTTTTGTTAGTTTGTTTGTTTTTGTTTTGTTTCTTTGAGACAGTGTTTCACTATGTAGCCCAGGCTGGCCTCCGAGCTCATAGCAATCCTCCTGCCTCAGCCTCTCAAGTGCTGGGATTACAAATATGCACCACCAGGCTTAGCTTGAAGTTAGCACATCTTATGCACAGGTGGAGCTGAAAGGTGAGGAGAGGAGGTGTGCTTCCCATTGGCCATCTTCTGGCTTAAGGTTCCGGGTATTGATGGGATTACTGATGCAGTTGGGTATGACTATGAGGGCTGGGTTGGGAGAGGTATGAAGGGAGAGGTTCACCGCTTAGGAAGGACACACTGAGCATCCTGCAGAGGCTCACCAAGAAGACAGAAATGGAGCCAGGCACAGCACTGCATGCCTGGGAGACTGAGGCAGGAGGATCATAGGTTCAAACCCAACTTGGGCAACTTGGCAACTTTGTAAGACCCCATCTCAAAATAAAATTTTGTTTCCTTTTGTTTTGTTTTGTTTTGTTTTGTTGAGAAAGGGTCTCGCTATGCAGTTCAGGCTGGCCTTGAGCTCACTTTGTAGCCCAGGCTGGTCTCGAACCTGCAATGATCCTCAATCTTCCTGCCTCAGCCTCCCTAGTGCTGGGATTACAGGCGTGCACCACCATGCCCGGCTCAAGATAAAACTTTTTAAAAGGGTGAGGATGTAGCTCAGATTGACGGCCCTGAGTTCAGTTCCAGTACACACACATACACATACACACACACATACACACACTCACACACACACAGAAAAAAGAAATTGAGCCAGGTATGGCGGAACACATCTGTGATGCCAGAACTCCAGAGGCTGAGGAAGTTGATGAGCTCCAGGCTACCTGGGGCTACACAGTGAGTTCAAGGCTGAGGCCAGCCTGAAATACAGAGCAAGACCCTGTCTCAAAAAAAAGAGGGGGGACAGAAGCCACATGAAATATTTCAATAAAGGAAAGTGAATACAAGAATGAAATATTAAATATTTTAAATGGAATATAAGGATCAGGCTACATGGCAGAGCTTGCCAGTCCTTCAAAAACAGGTTTTGTGGCCCAATGTCGTGGCACATGCTTGTAATCCTAGCACTCGGGAGGCTGAGGCAGGAGGATTGCACGAGTTCCAGGCCAGGATGGGCTACAAAGTGAGTTCAAGGCCAGCCTGAACTGCATAGCTAGACCCTGTCTCAAAAAGACAGGAAAAAAAAAAAAAAAGGATTTGTGGAGGGGCCGGGCAGGGCCAGAACAGGACACACCAGGGATGTGCCTGAAGGGGGTTGGGGGTAGACAGCCAGGTGCCCACAATGCCCCTTTCTGGGCGCATCTGTTCAGTGTGGCTCTGGCTTCACCACAGAAGGTAGGGGCACGTGGCGACTGGGTCAGGCAGGCTCGGGAGTGGGAGGCTGGGACACACATTTCATTCTCAGAGCAGCTGGGCCAGAATGCACCAGATTGGAGTTTGGGTGTAGATTTCTTTGTACAAGTCTCGTGCTCAGTACCTATTACTTCATTTCACATGGGGAAGGTATTTTTCCACTTAGTCCTGTTTTGTTTTGAGACAGGGTCTCACCATGTAGTTCAGGCTGGCCTTGAACTCTCAATGTAGCCTATGGTGACCTTGAACTTGCAGCCATCCTCCTGTCTCAGCCTCCCAAGTATGGGGATTACAGGTGTGCAGCACTATACCCAGCTCATTTAGTCACTTTTGAGGATCCCCAGGATTCTGGAACAGTCTCAGAAGACCTATAGATCTACAGCGTTTTGCGGCTGTCTCATAACCTGTGTAATGAATGAGTCCATGACTGTTGGAATAGCGTGATCTGCTATTCTGAGCAGCGCTGTGGTGGAGAGCCTGTTAAATTCTTCTGTATACATAAAACCACTTTTGCACACCTCTGAAATCAGGATTGTCTTACACATGTCAGGGGTTTTTTGTTTAATTGTAACCAGGTCTTACTGTGTAGTTAAGGATGGCCTTGAACTGACTGTGTAGCCCAGGCAGGCCTCAAACTTGTGGCGATCTTCCTTCCTCAGCCTCCTTGGTGCCAGAATTACAGGCACACACTACCATGCTCAGTTTGTGCCCTTTTTTGAGGGGAAGGGAACCAGGAATCAAACTCAGGAACTTGTACTTGCCCAGCAAAGGCTGTGTCACTAAGCTATATCCCTGGCCCCGCCCATTTTTTTTTGAAGGAGTAAATGATGTTTTACTCCGAGTAGACTCCTTTTTTTGTTTTTGTTTTTGAGACAGG